TTAATATACTTAATTATTGTCCAAAACGTGTGCCGTTTCAGAGTGTAATTAAGATCTAAGGTGAGATACTATCAATTATTTATGTTATTAATTATTTTTTTAATCCTAGAGCACTACAGTCAATGAAGGTTTTTGTATTCAAAATTTTGTAAGGAAGTGCTATTTCCGGGCCAACGGTTGTGCAAGGAGATGATTTGGTCTAGATCATACTCAATCGACAGGTTTTCTTCCCAACATTTGAACGCACAAATCTCATGAACTACAAATCCTATTTGATTTTTTTTTTTGCGTTGGATAGAGTTAAGCTTCGTGAAATTAAGCTACATAGGAGCAGGTAATGACCATAAAGGTTAATCAATAATCGAGTGCTTCTGATTAACTGAATATTAAAAACCCTTACAGTATGCACATCACACAAATTTCACTTACCACCTTAATTAGAGTCGAAATAAGTATTTTGTATATAATATATTTTTACCTATTATTTTATATAACCTACGTCTACCTCGGCTGATTCCGCAAAGGCCGTCCCCAATCCTCTTTTTTCCGCTACCCTGTTGTTCCATACCTCGGCCTTCACCCTCTCCTGGACACTCAACCAAGATGTATATGTTAATTAGGTTTTCAAGAAACCATTCAACTGGATGTTAAAGAAATTTTATATTCTGTTCAACTCTTGAGTTTTTTCCATAAAAAATTAATGATTTATAAGATTTACATTTTATAGTTGCAAAATATTAATTCAAGTTCGACTAGATTTTTAGCATTAAATTTATCCTTTCCTTTTCTCCTTAAATTGATTAGGTTTTAATCGGTTAACGGTTCTACTACGCAAGAGTAAAGCTATTACCAGGATTTTTTTAATCAATATTTCTATAACTTGGCCAGTAACTAATAGCCGAACTAAAGAAAAGTGGAGGAATAGTAATAAAGTGAAAGAAATATGAATCGGGGACAGCCTTAATTTTCGTGAGTATGTACTTGTGTTAGTGTATAGTAATTAACTCTGAAATGAATTAAAATAAAACAAATAATTCAACAAGATGTTTGGAAGCCTCCATATTACTTTTAAGAATTTTCGAATTCTGAGTCATTTGCTAGAGTTATCCGTCTAAATTCGTCGGCATTCGTTGATCTTCAGATCAACGGAATCGTTCGACTATTGATCAAATATTTTCTTTACGGCAAATATTAGAGAAAAAATTGGAGTATAACGGTATTGTTCACCAGCTGTATATAGATTTTAAAAAGGCTTACGATTCTCTTGACCGCCAGAAACTGTATAATATTCTAATTGAGCAGGGGATTCCAAAAAAACTAGTAAATCTAGTCAGGATGTGCTTGACGGAGACACTTAATAAAGTTAGAATCGGTAATAATTTTCCGAAAAATTTGAGGTTCGTTCGGGCTTAAAACAGGGGGATTCCCTTTCGCCTGTCCTGTTCAATTTGGCATTAGAACATGCCATTAGGGAGGTAATGCGAACCGAGAAAGGGTTGGATCTGGGCGGGACAACATCCGTGCTGGGCTATGCTGATGATCTGGTACTGTTAAGCGAAGACGTTGAAACTATAAAACTAAATACGACAACGTTAATGAAAGCCGGGAAAGAACTAGGACTCGAAATAAACGTTGATAAAACAAAATATATGGTTAGCTGCAAAAATGGCGATACTACTGGTGACATCGATATAGATGGTAATATGTTTGAACAGGTAGATAAATTTAGGTATCTAGGTTCAACGATAACTAGAAAAAACGAAATTGAAGAAGAGATTAAGGTTAGACTGAAGGCGGGAAATGCTTGTTATTTTTCTGTGACAAAACTACTTAGTTCGCGCCTCTTGTCCCGGAACTTAAAAATTAGAATCTATAAAACAATTATCTTGCCTACAGTTCTTTATGGATGCGAAACTTGGCCGCTTACATTAAGGGATGAGCAGCGTCTTAAGGTTTTTGAAAATAAAGTATTGCGTAGAATATTCGGACCGAAGAAGGATGAGTTAACCGGAGAGTTCAGACGGTTACACAACGCCGAATTGCGTGAGCTGTATCCGGGTAATATAATTGATGTAATTTCATCGCGGCAAATCAAATGGGCTTGTAAAGTTGTTGGGCTTAGTAACGAGAGAATTCCTAAAAGGTTAATATTTGCTGTGCCGAATGGTAAGCGTCCGAGGGGTAGACCGAAGTGAAGGTGGGAAGATTGCATTAAAGCCGATCTGAAGGGACTGGGTTTGGACGGCGAACGGTGGAGGGAGGTGTGTAATAAGCGATTGGTGGTGTCGGTATCGAACCTTCGGGTTCGCTAAGCCTTATTATTATTATTATTATTATTCGTTGATCTTACATAATGTTAATTAACCTGAATTGATATCATTAAGAATATCAGGCGTAGTATCAGTGGTACAAGACATTAATTAAGCTGATTATAAACAAAAGGTATATTGAAAAAACATATTAGGAAACTTCGTGGTGGCATCTCTGCCCGTTAGTCAATAAACTATAACTGAGTTCAAGCTGGAATAAAGTGAATCCTACAAGAAGATTCAAAGTTTATTATGCAATGCTTAAATGAGCTGAGGATACTGTTTCATTGTTACTTTACCTCGATTCGAGTAAAATGAATAGTCTACCTTGATGAGAGGGTAAAATGGGTCGGTAATTGATGAAGAACAAGGACATGACAACTACTAATTACTTTTATATGTACAATTACCGAATCACTGGCGCGTACCCAACTTCTGTGCACTACCAACAATAAGTGATAAATCCAAGCCTGAATTTGAGAAATCATCATCTTGATTCTTTGTATTTCATTTAATTAGCATTCAAAAAATAAAATTGGCATATTACAATTCGCAAATAAATATCATTAGTATCATGCGTACATATATAAGACGATAAGAATAAAAATAGCAAAATAATTGTTTTCCGAAATAGTAACCTATTGTTTAGTTTTTTTTTTAAATATTGAGAGTAACATTGGTTATATTAACAATATCAAATTTAAGCAGCAATTAAATAATAACAAATAAATGAAGGAACGAGATAGCACAATGGTTAGATCGTTTTCATGTTCAATGAAACCGGTCAAATGACGCCAGACACGCTGATCCTGATGAACAACTGGATGACAACCAAGGTGAGGTCTCTGAGATTTGGCAGATACTTCATGGAATCCAATCAGGAATATCAGGGCAACATAGACAATGATACTTATAGTTTAGTCAAATTAGAGATTGGCCCAATTATAAAAAAAAAAGTATGATATTTCAGAAATCATCCTCTCCAAACAACAGGTAAAAATTTTCTTGTGTTGGGTTTTGGAGAGGAAAGTTTTTCTCTAGTTCCATGGTTTAAAACTTTCACTTCGAAAATTAATAATCCCTTCAAAAATTCAAAATCCCCTCAAAAAGTTTGATGGCACATCTTGTGGCATGAAAATTATGCTACACTCAATTACAGCTCCCTCTTTAGAGTAACAATGAATTCTGTATAACTAATAATGAGTGATAGCAGACCTTAAAGTTATTTTTTAAACATTTCACAAAATATGGGACAAACAAATATATAAATGATTATTTCACTATTCTATTAATTTTGTTTCTTGTTTTTGATATTTTCCATCTGCTGTCGATATCAAGAGAATTGAAATAAATATTTTGGTTTAGCAATAATGTCATAGTTAGTTAAGTTCGATAAATTTGTTTCCCATAGTTGGTGAGATGTCTGAACATAACGTTAAAACCTACAAAAAATTTACTTATAAACCATGGTCTGATTTTGTACATAAAACCAGGAAATTTAAGTTTTGTATCTTTTTTTTTTTCAGGCAACCACGTATTTTTGTAATTAATTTATTGTAATGCACAGCTGATCATGAGAAAATAAAGCACTGTAATAATTTATTTTAATTATTGTTGCTGACAGAATATCAAATAGTATAATATTTTTACACAACTAAAAGTGAGTCTAAGCCTATTTGATAACAAAGCTAGATTTAATTAATATTGTCTTAAAGCTCATTAAACATGGAAGTTTTTCTAAAAGTTTCTGTAGTACGATTAGAGCATTAAAAAAAAATCGCGAATAATCCATAATTTTATGAAAACAGAAAAAACAGGGAAAAAAAAAACCTGTACCACTACAACATGAAGGGTCTTGGGTGCAGTACTATCTGAGGAAGTACAGTTACAAGGCCGTTTGTGCAGCGGTGATTGGGCCGATATCACGCTTAACCGCCAAAGTTTTCTCCCTTAATTATTTTTTTTTAAATTAAGAGTACCCACTTCATAGAGACTGGATGTGACCCAGGATGGTCTCTTGACTCCCAGGGTCGATTGATGGCTAATGAAAAATTACTAGTCATCAGCCAGATTCGAACCGGAGACCTTCAGCTCTGGAAATCAATGCTCACCCACTGAGCAACCCCACTCTCATAAAAAACAGAACTTACCATAATTTAACTGCTTAAAAGTCACTTTTAAATGGTTTAAAAAAAGACAGAACACTGGCATTTTAAGGAAATTTTGTGTAGTTAACTATGTAGCAATTGTTATTAACCTACTTAATATTTTTGCAACATTGTGATATAGGTATATAAAAATACCTGTAGCAAAACTTTCTCTCCAAATATCGAAACAAAAAAACTTTTAATTATAATTTGAACAATCAAAACAAATTCTACTTTGAAATGGTATCGTATGAACTATAGCAATTTGATGATTTGATTAATTTTCGCTAAAAGTGGAAATTCTATTTACTAAACAATTAATAATTTAGGGGCTTAGATTTTGTGCTTACTTGCCAGTTGAGTTAAAATCTGAAACTTTTAGTCTTAATTTGGTGATTTGTAACAAAGCATACAACTCTATAATATTTCTCTTGATTACCAAGATTATCTCATCATATAAATAGATTAAATTTAATTAAATTTGAGAACTATTGAGAAAAAAGTAGATGTTTTTATTCTTTTTAAAATGAAAACAAATAAAACTGTTTATAGTCGACAGGTTTACAAATTTATTTAAATCAAATACACTGATGAAAAAATACAGTATAAAACAAACACAATCACCTATACAAACTTTTAAAAATTACTGTAATCCAGCAACAGTACATTATTACACTGATGAAACTTAAAGAGTTTAAATTACAATGATAACATTAAAATAACCATTTTCAACAAAATATGGATGCACAAATCTTATTTTTAGCAAACAAAAAAAAAAAAAAAAAAATCTGCATCTCAAAATCTCTTACATAATAAGACAAGGCCAAGTAATCCCAACGGTAGTTGGGGATTGAACATTTCTTTATCACAAAAGAACACGATAAGGCTGTTTCTATAGACACTTTTATTGTAATGAATAACATGTATATTCCTTTACCACAGAGATGAAATATAGAATGAGCGAATGATGGTTGATTTGAAAATGAGTAAGAACAAAACAAATTAATATTTGCTGATCACAAAATGGCAATGTTGTGTAATTAACCTCTAAGCTAAACATTTTCAGCTCAACAATGCATTAAAACTATCATAGCAGATATGTGACTTTTATAACCTAATTTAAGTTTTATATTACAACCACTCCCAACGAATGAACACAGCTATAAAGATAACTTGACAAATTTAATTCAATACAGCTTCAATTTCATTGAAAGAAACAATGTTTAAAATTGCATTGTATTTTGATATGTAAGTTAAAATCTTAAGCTATATACAAAGTAACTCATTAGGATTTGTTTGATTTTATTTAAAGGCATAAAATCTTTGGATCACCAACACATCTTCTAATCAGGGTTCTTGTATTTAAAAAAATAAATCAAAGAATATAATTTTAAGGGCTATGATATGAGTTTATAAAACTATAAATTAATGCCTTAAAATTATTGAGGAATCGCTCATCACTGTTACATTGATCTTACTTTACAATTCTACATCGAGGTGATTCCAAAGATATTCATGAAACAAAATTAAATATACCAATGTTCAATATTTTGTGAACTAGAATTGCTTAATAATAATTAAAGGTGTAACATGTACAAAAAAAAAATCATTTCTTGCAATTTGGATGGAATTAGTGGACAGCTAAAGTCAAATTTTAGCAGCAACACTTGTCACATTTTTCTGTACACAATTAATGAGAAAAATGTTGCTTTATATTTTAGTTAATTTTTATTACAATAACCTGTTGAGTTATGAAAATTTAGTAAATCTTTGTTAGTAATTTTTTTCTCTCTTCGTGATTTGAATACAGTATTCTTATTTTGACTGATTCATAATCAATGATAATTGAAATATTTTATTCAAATGATAAATAATTAGATTTCTCAATCACAAAAATACTACACCCAACAGGTCAGCAATTTTCTTGGATTTATTAAATGAACTATCTTGACTAGTTTATAGAAAGTTATATTCTATCAAAATAATCAATTATATACATTCAATTAATTAAAAATAATCCTCTTAAAAAGCAAAGTATTCCTTATTTAGAAACAAACATCAGCAATTGCATGAAACTTGTGCATAAAAAGTTATTATTGTTCACAAAAGTTATTCCAAAAAATTGGAACTTTACAAGGTATAAAAAGTTATTGCTTTTAGTGCCTTAAACAGGCACTAGGAGAAGTCTTATATTTCTAATGTTAGATGTCATAAAAAAAAAAAAAAAAAATCAGTTATCTGTATTATCTTCTACGAAAGTAACTTCTAATAATGAAAAATCTTAATTTACTTTTATAGAAATCAATTCTGTGGATTTAAATTCAAATACGTTTTTAAAATAAAAACAATGAGATTAATTTTTGTTGCAATTTTTATTAAATTTAAAATGTTATACATAACTAATTTAAATTAAATGAATGATTTAATTAATTAAAAACAGACACATTATTTTCCTATAACAGCAAAAAAATACAATCACTTTAAAACCATTTTTAAAGTAAATATAAAAATGAATAAAATTAATCCTAGAAAAACTTAAGGCAAAATCTAATGATTTAAATGCAGTATTTCAAAAGAAATCAGTGCGCTTATTTGAATTTTTTTCCTGATTATTGCTAGCTTAATTTTACTTCTTCACGAGAATAAATTGTAATACTATGATTATTTAAAGATTCCCATAATCAGAGACTGAATTTTCGTACAAAGTTTTCCACTGTCATTACATATCAATCTGTTAAGAAACAATTAAATTTACTTTTAATTGGTACATTCTGAATCTACAAATAATAACGAATATTATAATAAATTGATAAACTTTTAAATTTTTAGTGAAACGTGAGGCTTCCATTAGACGTTTCACATGATCTTGTTTGGAATTAAAATAATGATAATAACTTATAAACTCAGACTATTTGGTTTTATTTTTCATTTAATGAATCTTTGAAATCATTTATATAAACTTAAATTTTTCACCAGTTTTCTATCGATGATAGTATACATATTAAACAATTTTTAACACAAATATTATTTACATTACATGACATTACATTTATTTTTCGCTGGATAAACACAGGAAAATGGACAGAACAAGATCTGATCAAATTTTATAACGATCTGAAAATAGTCATTACCACATGCAAAAGACTAATTTTCGCTTTATATGAAATTTACCAACAACCAAGTTCAAAATAAGTTTTAAAAGAAGTGGGAGGTTAGATAAAAAATTATAGTTAATGCCATTTTATATTAATAATGTAAAATTTAAAAAAAATATTATTTACAAATAACATATGTTTTTACTTTTCTGAAACAAAAATTAGGTAAGGAAAGTATTGTAATCAGTTAAATTCATTTATATAGTTTTAACAGATTGAACAGTTGTCATATTTTGTTATTTATTTATTTTTTGTAGCGTTTTGACCTATTTCTATGTAACCTAATCTGTTTTCCACTGGCTAGCGCCAACATTTTAATGAAATATACTTAGTCATTTGTTTAAAGAAAGATCTTTAAATTTTCTTCAAGCAAAAAAGCAGGGAAAACTTTATGATGAAAACAAAACTATAATTGTGCATAATTAAAATACACATTTTATGATTAATTATATGAAAGGTAATAAAACTCCCAACAAAAAAAATAAAAAATTGAAATTATTCCATCCTGTAGTATAATGCAAACAACGCATACTTTTCACAGAACTTTGCATATATTCTCATGGAAATTTTTCAATCAATGAATAGTTTTAAGATAACATAAAAATCATGAATAGCTCGCAAAACATTAAAGAAGCTCATTTGAAATATAAGTAAATTGTCTACTACTTAACTTCTTGTGGTTTCTTATTTAATAATTTTTAAGCTTAACAGTTGAAGAAAGCTTGTAAGTGGGAGGGAGGATAGGTAATGAAGGTTATATTTTACCATTTAAATGGATATTTAGGTGTCTGACGGTAAATGTTGGAGACACTGACTATAAGGAGGGAGTTTGGTCACGCACAACAGGGTGAGCCATAAAATATGGAGTTTTTTGTTTTCCAGGAAACTGTAAACCACTAATTGGCTCTATTTGTTTTTCATGTCCAATGAAAGTTGATATCTCTCAAGTCATTAGACTACATTAAATGAATCTGAAAACAAAATGATCTTAATTGGTTAAAGATGACATCAAAATGTGTAATAGTCGTAATATTACACCATTATTGAAAGCATATTTTCTGCTACAGAAGAAAACCATTCGGTGTGTCAATTTGAAGTGGATGCTCAACCTGAACAGACTGTGAGTAGATAGTTACAGAAATTTAAACCTGGTGATATCAGCCTTGAGAGAAAAGAGGTTATGGACAAACGTTATTATCCGATGAGGAAGCTCTTTAGGACTCAGGAGCTTGGAGTTTCCCAATTAACCATTAATCACGTGCTGGATAACTTGAAAACAATATTTTGTTCAAAAAAATGATTTTACAAAAGTTGACCACTTTGCAGGGAGAACGGCAAATATAAATTTGTTAACAACTTTGGAAAACCCAAATGACCATCATTTCATTAAAATATTATTTACTTTTACCTCTAAAATGCTAAGACTAAAATACAAGATTAGACTGTCATCAGAAAAAGAGACAAAATGGAGTTAAAAAATTATATATATATATTTTTAACTTTTAAATATATATATATATATTTTTTTTTTAACTTATTAAATATATTTTTATTTTATTTTTTCATCAAGGTATGCAATGTGGCATTGATAATGATTAAAAAAATAGTTCAAAACCTTGGTCAGGCAGATGATTTAGACATCTGAAAATCCAAGACTGTGTCTGTGATGTGGTGCCTTATTTGCTCGCAAAGCAACATTACATGACCATGAAGTATATGACCCCAAGTTTGATTCATGCTGTTCAGTTTGGTTCAATTCGTCTACCTGGGGTCTTTGACAATTGCTATGACATCTTCAAGGCAATTGAGAAGAGAGAAGTAATTGTTAAACAATATTACTATGAGATTCAGTCAAATATGCCTCACAAGGTGTGAAATAGAAAAATATAATCTCCTCTGAACTTGATATAGTGAAGCATATAAAGTTGGGAAGATCAAGGTGGGCTGGACATGTGGTTCGGTATAAGAGGATGAGATTACCAGAAAAATAGTAAATGATGCTATTCATAACATCACACTTAGGAGAGGATCCACGTCTTAGGTGGATGGATGGCGTAACGGAGGATTCCTGGAGTTCAGAGATCAGAGAGCTGTTGTCAAATGGAATGGAGACTGGTGTGAGTAATTAATGGAAGCCAGAGACCAATAATGTTTTATCAAGCCAATGGAAGAAGAATAAAGTGAAGAATGATATATTTTATAAGCAGAATTTTTAATTTAATTAAGCACACTTCCTTTCACTTAAATTAATTTCAATGTATTGTCAATGATTTTATTAATTATTAATAATGGAGCTAATTGTTTTCAACACTAAAGCTAAATTAAAATAAAAACTTTAGTTTAATGATCAAATTAAAAATTAATAAAAAGTCATACATAAAATACATATTTATTTAAAATAAATTGAAATCATCTAAATTTTATGAATACATCATAGATCATAGATTTATATGAAACCTATAATTAAAAAATTAAAAATTAATGACATCTAACAGTTCAGTTAAGATTGTTTGTCACTTTGAACATACATTTAAATTCAGCTGACTTGATCAGCTATTTTTCTTTGAAAAGCAGACTTGATTATAATATTTCCTCCTCTTTAAAAAAAAATTGTATAAATGCCAACAACAGAGGTAACATTTAAAAAAGGCAGAAATAAAAAAAATTTAAAACTTCAGAGACTTCGCAAATAGTGCAGCCATTGCTTTATTTTTGTCACCGTTGAACATCCTTAATTCCGCTATAGCCTGGAAAATTACATAATTATGAAAATAAATAAAAAGGAAATAATAATTGATAATTATAGCAAATAAAAAGGACCATTTTCTCTCTATTACTACACTGAACTTCCACATCTGTAAAATATAATTAGCACATCAAGCTTAAATGCATCTGATACCCAAATAACCCAATGATATCCAACAGGCTTACTTTTACAAAACTTTATCCTCCAAAAAAAGAGTTGTTAAAAAAACAAAACAGAGACCCAATCTGACTTAATAGTTGATTCAATGAAAATCTTTGATGTTCTCCAGTCCCATTACTTGGTTAAATATCTATTTTTTTATCCTCCTTACTATCAACTTTACTCATTCCCTTCATGTGACCAATTCTACTTTTCCTCACTGGTGTTTCTAGATCTTCAACATCGTCATACAATTCTTGATTCTTTTTATGCCAGTACTCATCTCCCACCTTTCCAGTCCATGGATATACCTTAGTATTTTTCTTTGTTTTCAGTAGCTTTTCAGTACAGGAAAATCCCAATGTCCTCCATTCCACATAACGCCACAGGTTTAACTACTGTTTCATAAAGTCTTTTTAGCTTTTCTGGAAAAGTTCTTCTTGTTATATAGAATTTTAACTAGATATCTAAGTCTGTCTAACTTCACTTCTATGTTCTTTATCAACTGTAAATCACTACCATTGTACTTAATAAGTTTTGTCATAAATATTTGAACTGTTTTACAATTTGGATATCCCCATATTTAGTTCTAATTTTCTTATCGGTTTCTGAGGTATTGGTCATTATTTCTTTTCTCGAAGGATATCTTCAACTCTGTTTTTTTTTTCTTCTACTTACTATAGTTCCTCTATCTGGTCTATTGTTCTCTGCCAGCAATGCTAAATCGTCTGCATAGGCTAAACAACTAACTTCTACCTCATCCTACCTTCAGATTTTTTCCTATCCTTCCTCACCTTTTAGGCTACATGGTTTTTCCCACTACAAGGGAGAGAGGAGGGAAATTGGGTTAGAATTATAGTTCCCCTAGCACTAGAATTTGAACTCATAATCTTCAGTTTATCAAGGTTGCCGGGGATTCATATATTTTACACCCATGTTAGCCCACTCGGTCATCCTGCCCCAATCCTAATTCCAGACTTCTTGACTTCCCAGAATGTCTTCAGATTTTATCTAATACTATGTAGAATATAATGTTAAATAGTCTGTCCCCTTGTCTTAATACCATTTTAACCTCAAATGCCTGACTAATTTCATTCCTAAACTTCACTTCAGAGTATGTTTTGATCAGGGTCAATTTGATTAGATTTATTGTTTTCTGGTCTACCTCATACTCTTTCAATATCCCCAATAATATCTCTCAGTCTACTGTTTTTGTTTTTTTAATAGAATAAAATGGAGGAAACGTTTTTCATTTCCCAATCCATTCCATAGAACATAAGTGTAAGAAAATAATAATATAATTAAAATAAGATCTGAAATACCTGTTCTCTGGTGAATCCTAGATTAACAAGCTCTTTCACTTCATCTTCAGAAAATTTGTCTTGTGGAAGTATATTTAAAGTATGTTCAAGTTCCAGGCTACTACTACCGCTGCTAACCGGAACTAATAATAAATAACACTCATAAAATTGATGTATGAACAAATAAATCAACACACAAAAAAAAAAAAAGAAATAGAACAACTTTAACAAAAAGATTTTATTTTATAAACACCACCACATATTGTTGGTTTATTGCAAAAAGTCACAAAGTAAACTTAAGAGTCATTAAGATGAAGATAAACTTTTAAATAAATATTAGTGAATGTCAATTATATTTATCAATGCAAAAACTCATTAGGTTCATCAAAATAATATAACCTTATCATGTTTTAATTTTAGTTAAACCAAGTTCATCAACTTAGACATTTAATTTTTTAACATTGCTGAATGAATTTTTACGATAATATAATCTAAAAGACTATTCTGCCTTTACTTAATTTCATGAATATAGCCAGTTTATTATACAATTATTAAAAAGACATAATGAATAGCCTGAAGCTTTGGGAATAAATTTTTGAAGAAATCAACAATAATTTTCAACTCCTCTGGTTCTATTCAGTCAATAGAACTGCAAACATTTTTTTATTTATATAAAATTATTGTTTCAGGGACAACAGTTTAACAAATCCAGACTAAATAATTTAATTTATATAGCTTAATATTTTTTTTTCAGTCCATTTAAGTTATTCTAAAAAGATTTTGTTTCCTGTTATTGTTTTTATTTTTTTACTCCATCCAAAAACCATCTGAATCCGTTATGATTTTTAAAAAACTATCAATGTTAACATAAACTTTTTCAACATACCTACCAGATGAAACAGATTACTGTTATATTCTCGTCTATAATTCTAATTCTTACAGATTCCAAATATTTACAAGATTCACAAAGGACCTTATAAATTAAATTAAAATTAAAACTATATTTTTTATGTTAAGATTGGTTGGGACAGAAAATAAATAAAATTTGTGGGATGGGAGGTTAACAACATTTTATCTATTATTAAAACTATACTTTAGAAAAGAAAAGAAAAAAAACATTTAAGGAGACACCAACTAAGTACTAGAATGCGGAAGGAACCTTATTGACTGATGATGAGGCTTGCATGGAGGAATGGAAGACATATTTTGAGGACTTACTGAACGGAGGGTAAGAGAAAGGCAAGAATACTCTGGAACATCAGCTTTATGAAGGCTAATTAGAACCACCTGAGAAGGAGACAATTAGTTGCCTGAAAAACCATAAGGCTACAAGCATTGACTTACTCCCTGCGGAACTGCTTAAACAGGAATCAATGGAACTAGTGAAGCATTTATACAACATAATCTGCATCTGGAACGATGAAATATTACCTGAGAACTGGAGAAAAAAGGTGATCTGTTCCATACACAAAAAGGGATCATCGGTTATTCCTTCAAGATGTTAGCATAAGCAAAATATATAGATATTGTGAGAAGACCCAAGCAAGCGATAGTTGAGGGATTCCTTGCTCTGGAAGCTGCTGCGAGACTAATGGGACTGATTATAAACAAAGCTAAAACCAAGTACTTGTTGGTTTTGGATCAGGCTCCGAAATTGACTCGTATTAATGTTTCGTTTGGCCACTACAGGTTTGAACAGGTCTCAGGTTCTATTTATCTGGTATCAGTGATAGCTTGTAGCAACAATGTAGCAGTAGAGATTAGGACAATATTTTGGACTCCAGAAACATCTCTCCAGCAATTTCATTATAAGATGAACAAAAATTATTACATATAGGACTCTCATTTGTCATGTATTTTGTTATGGCTCGGAGACATGGTCCACAACCAGAGCTGAATATCAACTCCTTATATTTGAACATAAAGTGCTATGCTGAATTTATGGCAGTGTGTACGAGAATAATGAACGGAGGCGGAGAAACGATCGGGTACTGTATGATCTATATCATACAGCTACCTATATCAGGAGTTTGATATATATTAAGTTTCATCAAGCTTGGAAAACTGAGATAGGCAGGACATCTTGCCAGAATGCCTGATGATCTACTTCCTAAGAAAATTTTGTTCAAGCCTCTTTTTAATCATCACAGAGTTGGAAAGTTGAAGCTGCAATGGGCAGATTATGTAGCTCATGACGCAAGAAAATATTTTAAGGTGCGAAACTGGATGGCAGCAGCACAGAATAGAGATGCATGGCAGTTGCTGTTGGAGGAAGCCAGGAGTAGTAGAACTTTTTTTAAAAATATATTCCTTCAAGAAAAAATATAGAAGAATATAGGACCATATTTTCCTTGATTAATCTCTGTCCTGCGCAGTAGCCATCCAACATTGAATGTCAAGAAAATTGTCTGCACCCCTACAGCTCCTCCATTCAAACATTATGCCTTGATAGCCTAAATCCCAATAATGTACAAAGGACGGTTTGTGATAACTCCTCGGACATCTCTTTCTCAGGCATCCTTACCAAATGTTCAGGCTACTGGAGAATACCAATCTTTATCAACAATATTCTCACTGGCACGGTCATAAAATTGTATTATTTTTCCATATTCTCCATATAACATTAATCAATAATCAATAATTTACTCAGAAGACCACAAACTTGGGAAAACTTCAATGAATTTTTAACATCTCTGTCAATCAAGAATGACTAATAAGCATCAATCTTTAGCAATCCGAACATTCTTGGAAGAGTATTTTTAAACTATAGAATAGACTTTTATATATCATCAGCACCATGTTAAAATACCGAATATGCAACGTTAAACAGGCACACATTCGTTACTTCAACAATACAAGGATACGATAATTTTAATATAATGACGTTTTCAACCATTATTGACATTAAAGGCAAACATATTTTTTTTTTTTTTAGCCCGATTTTGTTTTTGTGAGTGATCTGAACCAAATACTTAGGCTAATACAACGACAATATGCAGTCTTTTTAAATTATAATCCATACATAGCTACTCATACCAAGAAAAAATATTTTAAAAATTATCTCTGAAAGCATTATTGTTCTTAGGTAGTTACTGATTTTATTTTGATTTTTTTTTATACACCACTTTATATAGTTTCTTCCTTCTTCTTCCACAATAATTACAGAAAAACAAAACAAAAAAAAAAAAATTTACCAGCTTTCATCAACATTGTTGTATTTAATTTTATATTTTCCTTGTCTTCATCACCTAGCAATACCAATATCTGGTGTGATGCAAGCATGCAACCTTCATTTACCACTCTCTTTACAATAGAAATAGGTAATTTCTTACAAATGATAGTGAAAGTAGAAATTATAGACAGAATAACATTCATTTAAAAAGATTAATAATCATATGTTTTTCCTATACATCTGACGACCTAAATTGGCGTGCTGCTAAATTTATGTGCTTTCTGTCATTATTCATTTCTGTCAACAATTATGAGTTGTAATTATTTATTTAATTATAAGATTGCCATATATTTTTTTATAGTCTGACAAGAGTGGCATCAAATTTTTGTAGAGCGATGAGGATAAGATGGCAACAGCACTTTAGGAACCGTGAATATTGTACACAGGCAGAGAATGGAGAACCTTTTAAATCATTGTAGGTATTTTTATTAGGTATATAAAAATTTTAGTTTTCAAATTGTCATAATTCATGTAGTAAAATTATATTTAATATCAGAGTTATCATTTATGGAAGCCCCACATATACAGGATGGCTACCAGACAATTAAGTAAAATTCCCTGACCAATATGTCTGGGCTCACAAATATTAAAAATGTATAATTTATAAATGAATTTATACATGAAAGAAAATTGATTACAGAATGATTTGAGTGAAATAAAAAATCAGCCTTTTAAATAAGAAATATTATATTTTAGAGAAAGCATTTTTTAAGCTTGATTAGGATTTAATATTTTATAAAACTAAACTTTTAGTAATTTATTTTTTTATCGCCTTTATTTTATTTTCATAAATCAAGAGGAGGTAAAAGTTGACACTTGACATATAAAGATTTTTCTAAAATAAAGTGAGTTATGAAGGGTTCTAATATTAATATAGTTTCTCATAAGTAATTTAGCTTCTTTATTACTATAAACAGCGTAATAATTATCCATATGACAACAACTGTGACATTTCTGCTTAATAAATACACTTGCCTGCCAGCCAATGAATTGCACCGATCGCATGAATTTACTAAAAATATAACGCAAAATAAAATTTAAATAATATATAGATCTCTATTGTTTGCCGATATTAACTGACACTCCCTACTCTTAGCATTAAATTCATATTTCTGAGTACTGCAATAAGAATGTGGAAGAGCAAGAAGTTTTTCCTTGGAAGAAAAAGTGCATATATGTTGCCGAATGGAAAGAGAATAATCCAATAGTAGCCTGGCTCAAGAATTAAACCTAAGTCTTTCAACAATTTGAAAAAATTTAAAGTCTATTCGAGACAGTATGCTGAATGTGGCGAATCTTTAAAATTAAAAAAACTACAGTAGGTTCCTCTAAATATTCCACTACCAGGGTTATAAGGCAGACTTTACTCGAAAGACTAACGAATATTTTAAATATATCTCACACAGCTCTTTATTTGTGCGGATCCTTCATTACCCATGTTCACTATAGATCCTGTGGAGAACCCTTCTCTACGCAAGTAGCTTCATTTCCGAGGCCTTAAAGATCACCCAAGTCCCAGAACCATGGCGTAACAGCATCTATTCCCAACAACCGTTCTTACTTCCAGTTCTTCCTCCGCCATTTCATTACTTTCTGTAATTAGCACCCAAATACTGAAAGGTTTAGATCGCTTTCAGGATGGAATTTCAGGTTCTTCTATCACCCCTTTAAATATTTCCCTCTACTTATGGGACACCCAGTCAATATATAAAAACTATCTAAATTGTGCGTTTATATTTTATACAAAGAAATAATTTAAAAAAGAAAGCAAGCAACAATACAGCTAGTAAAAATGATCAAGAATAAAATATAAAATAAAAATTTATTTAAAATGGCTAATGTCTCTTTGATCTTCTGTTACCTTTCCTACCATCCTCATTTGGATGTGTAAGCCGCGCACAATCTGGAAGTTCTCTTTCTGAGAGAAATCTTGTTTCAGTGCCAGTTGTTCCAATCCTTAAGACATTCTTTTTCAAATCAATGCAGCACTAAAAAAAAAAAGTTTATGTTAATGACAGACATCAGAAATGGATTAGTAAAAGCAGTTCTATTTCTCACGCCTGTAGAAATGGAGCTCTAAAAATGGTTCTACTGGACTCTTAGGATCCACAATAATATTTAATAACACCAAATAATTTACTTTAAGCGAACTACAGATGTACCACAAAACATGTACCGTAGTATATAATACATATTACTTATTTAAGCATTACTTATACATTTAGTAGATGCTATTTATATATATATATACATACAGAATGTGTATAAATTTAGATCATTAGAATAACTATTATTTACCAAAATTAAGTTTTTCAACAAAATCTCAGAATTAACACATCAAATTATAAATGCTAAAGGTAACTTTTGAATAATTGAAGATAAGGTTGTAAAATAATATATATTTCTCTAGATTTTTTCATATAATGAAGAAATAAAGAGTCGGCTAGGCAAACGAACGTAAAAACGTGAGGAAAACAATTTTATTTTTTTGATATCAGTGATTATTGAGCATTGATATCTTGAAAACTATGCGATATAACAAAATAATGAATATCATCAACCTATCAATTTATCACAAACATGCATGGTTTCCCTGATATAAGCTTTAAACTGAAAAATGTGCCCTCCTAAAAAGTAGGTCAAACAAAGAACCAAAGATTAAATTTGATTTATAAACAGATGTGTAAATACAACCTTCATTTAATTTTATTAAATCATCACCATCAAAAATGGTCTACACATAATTCACAATAATTTAAATAAGAAATACTATAAGACTAATACATTAATTCTTTAAAATATATTAAGTTTTCAAATAATTTACATTGCAAATAACAGTCCTCTTTATCCATAATGATTACCGTATTTCATTTTCTATTCTAAAAATAAAACAGTTTAAATTGTTATGATTAGGATTCATTCATCCTAAATAAACCAAATAATCTAAGTACTAAGAATTTATTTTTTACCTGATGCCTTCGAAGCATATCTAAGCCAAGCAACATATCCATGGGCTGTTCTTCTAAGACAGAAAATGAAGTTGTTAAAAAATCATTTTCTATAGCCACTTGCACCATATGTATCCTTCCGATTATCCTCTGTACACCAACACCTAATAAAATTTATTTAACATTAAAAATCTGATATGACTACAAAATTTATAAATAATAGATACAATGGTAAGACTATAGTAGTGTCATGTCAGGATGACAGGTGGAGCAAGATTACATTGATTATTACAAAGGGGAATGCCAAAACTAGCCAAGTTTATCTGAATGTATATGGAGACAACTGAATTCCAAACATCATTAATACAAACCCGATTTCATGATCAGAAGAATAATATATTGAAATTTGATATAGCAAGAAACTGTACGTTCCGGTCCTTTCAGACTAAATCACACATTTTTTGTGTTTTTTCATGATGTTGCATATTTTACACTTTAAGGGTTTAATTTGATTTTAATCACATAAAATTCATTTTTTAAACCAATACATATCCATAAGTTTGCATGTTAATATTTAATTAACTTAACTACTTATTTATATATCAGTTTTGAGGATGGAAATAATTTTCCCAAAACGTCAACTTAACATGTAAATCAACAAATAAACCAATTGTTGTATATCTGGAAATTTTCATTGCCAAAAATAGGGAAAGAAGAATTTATATATTAGATTTATTATCAAAAACAAGAGCGTCCTACCCAACCATTGTCACTATGTGGTATGCTGAAGGTACGGAATTCTGATGCGCTATCAGATGCTAAAGATCAGGTTTTTGTTTTTTAATTTATTTATTGAAAATAAGATTTTTAAGTCATCATTAGGAGATGGAAGAGGGTATTGTAAGACTCAACATGTTGTATATAGGTTTTGTACTCTTACATAGTACATATTCATAGTTTCAATATTCACAATCCCAAAACATATGTATGTATTGTATTTTTAAAATAATATGTATTTATTCTCATTCCAAAACAAACAAGTATGAAAGTATTTATTAACAAAAGTTTTTTGTCACATGGCCAAAAATTCTAAGACAAAATGATGTTCTCTCAATGACAGGAACGTGAATGAGAATTATGACGCATTGGGCAATATAGATGTCTACCTTCCCAGGTTGATGTAATCATAAAGAGAGATTAACACATAACCAAGTAAACTGAGCTGAGAAAGCTAAGTATGAGCATATCAGATATTGTGTTGTAATTGTTCCCTTTTCATTGAGGCTCTGAAGCTGCATAGTAGATTAGGGCAAAAACATTATTTAGTTGTATTTGGTTAATAATGACATCTTAATAGGTTTTTTTTTTTTTGTCCTCTCCTTCCTCGCTTTTAAGCCCATACAGGGTTTTCCCGGGCCAGGAGGTGTGGGGGTGGGATTTAAAAGACTCCACTGGCACCGGGACGCGAACTCGTGACTATTTTAAATCCATTGTATCATAGATCAGGTTGCCAGGCAACGGCGGTGCTGTGCACACACGTTAGCCCGTTCGACCACCCAGCCCACGCCATCTTAATAACTTGTGAAACGAGGCCCCCTATATTATTTATTAATATTTAAATATATATTGAGATGATTGATAGTGTTGTTTTCATATCCTTCATTTAGCAATCATATCTTTATTATATTACAAAAATGATCCATACTTATAACTTAAAGCAACATTCAATAAATTTTTTAATATATTTAGCAAATTCATACCTTTAGCTATTCCAGCCCACCTTGTGTCAACCAATCTCATTATATTAACCCTTTCAGCACAGGCAGCAGACATAATTGTGGTTTGAGCACCTATTAAACAAAATTAATGACTAAAATGAACTTTTTAACAAATTTCTGCTCTTATAAAACAGTGATAAAACTATTTTTCAAAAAATTTAATCCAACCAAATCATAGTAATACGAGAAGCTTATAAATTAGTACTTGGAGCCTTTAAGAGCTAGCTACATTATAAAAGAAGATAAATGCATGAAAACAAATCATTAGTAACTAAACTAGACTGAAGCAGGAAAATACATCATTTGGCTAAATAGAGTATAATTTACTTTCAATTACAACTGCATCACTTACCAATTACTCTATTCTAAAATTTCATAAATACAATTATAACGCATAATTATAATCCAAAATAATAATTATTATTAGGTTAGACACAAAGACATTTACAATCAGGCCCTACAAATTATAAACAGATTGAGATTAGCAGTCAAGGTTTATTTGAAGTCTTAGATTGGAGATTCTTAAGATTATCGAGGTTCTATCCTCCAAAAACTTTGTATGCAATTCATGTGTGGTAGAACGGTCTGCTTCAGAAACAAACTAAATGAAACTCTGAAGGTCAAAAAATGGTCTTTTAATTTGGGTAACTACAAAAATATACTACATGAAAATAAAGACCTCCCAAATAACACCAAAGCATTTGGGCACAGGTGGAAAACAGTTGTCGGGCCCAGACAACTTCAACATAGGAAAACAGGACCTGTGCCTGGGAGGCCACCAGAAAACATAGCTGATGTTATAACGATGGCAGTTCTGAATAACAAGGAATAACTATAGTGGACAACAATACTTATTTGTTGTATGGGTAATGGTTTAATGTTTACTAGCAGAGAAGGCAGAAAGTTGAGTTAGTTCATGTGATATGCCATCACAGACAAATCCATTTAGCCAAAATGTAAGGATAATATAAATAAATGGGCTTCAACACATCCATTTCAGTTTATAAATCTCTAATATTATCTTCAATGTCAAATAGTCGATACCCCAGAAAACAGCAGATGGGTGTTGGTGAATAAATTTTTCTCAGCTTAACTTTTAATAATAGTCAATTTTAGTAAAATAACACTTATTATTTATAAATAATATGAGTGGCTTCATATCAAAAATGGAGATCTGTCATTTTCATAGAACAGACAAAAAATCCAATTTTTGTTATTAAGGTTCGACTCATATTATTTCTGATGATTTTACTTAAGAATGTTCAAGTTTAATCATGAAAAAAATGGCAGAAAACCAATTGTAAAAAGTTATAACTGCCAAGGGTGAAATAAGAAATTAATAGCTTGAAAATTTTAATGGAACTAAAATTTATTTATGTATATATAAAATAAATGATAATATGAATTGTGGAGGAATGATCTTAAGAATAATGATTATAACTACCTGAATCTATAAAAGCCTTCACGGGATAGCCATTGACTTGGCAATTGATGTACAACATTACTACTGTACCAAATGTTTCTGGGTTGTATTCCATAGCAGCTTCCATATTAGCTTCAATATTCTTTTGTTTAATTTCTTCAGCTATTAATCTTTGAGCCTCAACATCAAATGGATGAGCCTGAATCAAGAAAACCAGTGTAATGAACATGGACTACATTCTGATGTAAATGCTGTTCCTTAATAATAATTTAATTTACAGACAATTATTACAGTTTACACTGATACTAGTTACAGAAAATTTTAAAGTAAAAATACTGTGAATTATTGCCCAAAAGTTTATCATTTCTACGATAATTTATAAAATGAAATACAAGTATATTCTGAAGAAAAAAAATTGTTTTTTCTTAATATTATGTTTTTCCTTTTCCTAACGATATTATTCTTCGGAGATGGCAATAGTGGATTCTAAAGATGACCTGAAAATGTCCTGTGATTTTGCTGCCAAATATTAAAACAATAGTAGCCCAGCAGTCATGAAAAAGCTAGATTTTTTTATTATATCATGAAATGTAAATATTAAAACTTTGGAATCATTATTATTGGTAACTGATAATTTATTATTATTTTAGTTATTCAATTTTGTATTAATTATAATAATGCACAACAAATAAAAAGATATAGTAACAATTAAATTGTTTTATCTATAAATTAATTCTATAAATAAATTTCATATAAGTTTTAACAAAAGATTAATTGCTCAAACTACACCCCAGAAAGAATTATTGAAAGATTTGAGAAAACAATCCTCCACACGATAACTGAAGTGATCTGGGTTCACAATATTAACGCTTGGGGGAGGAATAATAATAAAGAGCTGTTTACAGAAACTGGCCAATAAATACCACAAGATATGAAGGATAATGATTAGGGGATTAGTTAAGATGAGTAAGGGAAATAGCTCAGGGCAATCCATCAGGAAGCCCCTACACAACAAAAGACCACATGGAACGACAAAAACCAGATGGATACATAGGGTCAACAAAGATGCAATAGAATTGGATGCAGATAACAGGAAACAAATAGCCCAATATAGGCAGAGTTGGAAAAGGCTGATTAAGGGGGAAACGATCTACAAGGTCTGTAATAAAAACAGAATTTTTTTTTTTTTTTTAATTATTCCAAAATTAAAAGGAAATAAGTGAACAAGAGAACAAACACTTTTCTAATGGGTAGGTAAGTTTGAAGAAATGGCTTATATTAATATATTTTATAGAGTTTTTAATTGTTTTTTTAAATCGAATAATACAATGGATGTGATTGTCTATACAATATGAAACTTTAAAATAGTAGTGACGTTTAGAATTACTTTTGTTTTGTATTTAGATTATGTATGAGTTTTTCACTTTTTTTTAATTTTAAGTTATTTTATTTTACTTATTGTATATACTTTTTTATTATTATCTAGTTATTATTGTTCTTCTGTTTATTTAATATTATTTTGTAAATATAGTGTGAATGTGATCTTAACCCACTATGACCTAAGTCCAAGTAACAGAATGTTGTAACATTCAATAAATAAATAAGTAGACTAGTGCTTTCTTTATTATTATGAATAAATCTACCAATTATGATCTCATAAGCAGCAGCAAATTTAGCCAGTTTAATGTCAGACATAATAAAAGATCCATCTTGACAAAAGAATGATAATCTTTCAGCGCTATCACTGGCTGTCTCTAAGTAAACATACAACTATTTCATAATAACATAAACAAAACAAATATATGTTTCATGTTACCCGATTACATGCATGTGTAAACCCACAATCAGAATGAACATGACACAGCTCAAGTTCTGCATAGAAGACCTTAGAGAATGCATTTCGAAAAATAAAGATGGAAGATCACCTATTGTATCTGTTGTTTTGGATTGATATTTTTATGTATATTATATCTGATATCTATTCAGAATACAAAGTATAATAAAAACCAGGATGATTTCTGAATTAGTGGCACAACAAATATTATCTAAGATACATTTTTTTCCTTCTTTCATCCTCATTTCGTAGCTAGTTCATTGAGAAAGTGGTTCTTAAAAATAACAAAACCCTAAATTAATTAAAACAAATTTAAATATTAGAAAGATAATAAAATAATACCTGCATCATTCTTAATCTTTGCGCTTGTCTTCTTTCTCTTTCAACCATTTGTTCTTTCAAAACTTTAGCAAATTCCTCTGTGGAAATTAAATTTCTTGAAAAAAAAAATCTTGTTCACAATACAAAAATTAACACACCTTAATACATATCATAAAGCAATTAACTGAAAAAAACATTATTTCAGCAAATCATCAACAAACCTAATCTTCCACTTTCTAAAGCATCTGCTAAACGTGGATTATTTTGTTTCAACAACGCAAGTTGATCAGGATTGGCTAAAAATAGATCTCTGACATGAGCCGGATCATCTGCTGGTCCAACAGTAATGCCGAGACGGGCTGAAGATGGCACTTCAATTCCACTGAAGTCAAAATTGATTCCTCCACCCCCTAAATTGAAATACAGACAAATAGTAAAAACTCAATAAAGCATAATTAACATAATGAGATTATGTGGTTTCTGTAATCACAACAGCAACAGATAAACTAGCAATAAAATATCAAAAAACTTATTTGATAAAATACTAAATAACATTTTAGAAAAATTATAGATTCAAATATTGAAAATCTAGTATTTTTAAATTAATAAAAAAAGAATCTAAATTTAAGAGGTATTTAGAATGATAAATTGAAAATAAAAAATACATGACCTTGCATAGAAACACTTAATGTAATGATTGCTAAAAGATATAAGAAAGTTTGAATTTATTTATGAATCAAAAAAATTATAAGAGTAAAATTTACCTCCATGAATACTTGTGCTAGGTCCCCCCTGTCCCATGTGTTGAAGTATAACAACATCACCATCCTTGATTCCATGTCTTTTCATTGACAATTTATTATCTAAAAGGGGTTTACCCTCATGAACGATGAGGATATCCCCTGCTGTAAAACCAGATTCTATTTCACAAAATATCTTGAAGTTTTCTAGTTCTAAATCTTCGCTTACATCTAAGACGAAAATTTCGTCGGCCAATGTTGTAACAGTAACTTTCATAATTATTCAGTTTTCTTCTGTCACTATCTTCTTTGGTGGAGAAGGCAGTTTACTATACTATTAGGAAAATGCATAGAATTAGAACTGTTGAGTCAACAGATCATATAACCTACTCCTAGTTTAACCTATACAGTAACAAAACAAAATTTGTCATGATCCCAGCCTTCATAACAAATACTTCTATCAAAATAATTATTTACATATCGTTATGAATTTTCCAAAATGATGTATTGGAAAATAGTATTTATTAATATGCTCAATTCGAACTACTACCATTACAAAAGAAAAGGCAACATCATTGTAGGACATACACGTTACTCACATTTTAGGAGTATTAATTAAAATTTAAAATTATTATTATCGTTTAGCTCATCGAATAAATTTAGAAGATAAACCAAGATAAATGAACATTATATTCACTACGATTCCATATAAACTGTAACCCAAAAAAAGCTAACAGCTGTCATATCTCCTTCCCTCCTGTTATGATGGTCATTGGCGGTTCATTTATAATTTCCAAAAAAGTCCACCCATTCTCTATTAGGTTATTACCACGGTTTTTACCCTACCAAGTTTTTACAATCAGTGTAAAATCACGATAATGCTTATCAAGCGTTTTCAAACAGTGATATTAATGTGAATTCAAACTTTTATCTAAAACCCACCAGATAATTGTTGCTACATTAATAAAGGCTGCAAAAGTATTTTTTCCTTTAATTTATTGAGTAATATCACTATCTTATCAGGTCAGAGCCAAACCAAGGTTAATAGGGCAAGGCTAGGTCTTGGATATAATCCCAGCTATAAATAGAATAAGGCAGTCTGCTCAAACAATCTTGGAGTCTAAAAGTTAAATTAAACTTTGAAACTTATTAAAACTAGTAAAAATCATAAGAACTATGATCCAAACAAAAACTTATGTGAAGAAAGAAGTCATAAAAAATATATAGATCAGGAATAAAATAAAAACAATTTTTTTTTCATATTCTTTATTTATATGAACAACAAAAATAACTTCACTCTTTGGCAAAACATCAGTAACAATAAATTGACCAGATAAAATGACTTAGAATCCCATAAAATAAGCATACATATCAAATTTGTTTTCAATACAGGAATGATATATTTACCTATTTATAGTCAAATAAATAAAAGCATAAATAACAATTAAAATCTTATGAAAGTATGTACACCTAAATTGTTCGTACTAATTTGTTCATTTCATTTTTTATTTATTATTTTTCAGTGAACACCAAGCTTCTTTTTGAGTGATTCCGGCATTTCAGGTGGTGGTGGTCGTGGAATTCCTAGTGTTACTTTTACAAAGTCATAAATAAACCATTGAGCAGCTGTTAGTGTACCAATCATAATAATACGAGGTCCTAAACCTTTCCACATTCCCATCAAACCAATTTTTTTGGCAACATCAATGGCTGTCGACCCTTTTTCCTGATTTAATTTGGATACAAGTGTGTCTGCAGGATGTGAAACAATGGCACAAAATACACCAGCAATATAACCAGCGGCGAATGTCACTACTAACTGCTCTCCTTTGGTGCACTCAGACCTTGGTTTTGGAACTACATATTTGTACAAGAGTTCTAAGGTCCTCTCAAAACAAGCAAATTTCATCATTGTGTAAGGGATCTGCCGACACCAAAGAGGAACCAAGGACTTAAAAAATGCAGTCATACCTTCTTCACCATACATTTTGGGCATAGCTTGTCTTAAAGTATTAGCAAACCCTGGTGTTGTCTGAATTTTAACTTTAGCTGCCTCCATGGGGCTTAAACATATATCAGCGATGAATTCAGCAGTAGCTGATGCAGCCAAATACAAGCTTGTTCTCCAGACATAAGAATTTTCTTCACCTAAAATGTTGGAATAAATGACTTTGAAATATTCATAAAATCCAAATTTACACGCTCCTTGCATTGAATATCCATAAAATGTAGGTGCCCAGCCCTTGGCAAGACCTCTTGTACCTTCTTCTTGAACTGTTACTCTAAAACCATTAAACAGATTTTTATATTTATTTGGATCAACTTGAAGACGACATTTTACTAAATCAAGTGGTACAACCATTGTATGAGTTATACCACATGATAAAATACCTCCTAATCCGCATAAAAGAAAATACTTATCAGATGCATATTCACAAGATTCACCGGGCTGAATTGCAGCAGCAGCTATAGTACGTCCTGGAATGAGTTCTTGACAATCCTCATATCTGATGGGGGCTTTATATTCTGAAGTTCTGCAAATATCTCGAACAGAGGGAAACATTTTTGGGATGAATTCCAAAATTAGACGGAGCCGAAAATCTCACCGTGCGCCCCCAGACACCACCACCACTGAACTAGGCCAACACAATAGTGAAAATTTACGTCAATTGATAAGACACTCTAAATATATTCAATACCACCTATGGATTACTCGAAACAAATTTATTCTGATTAAGTTGCAAAAATTTCATATTTAAACATAGAAATATATTAAAAACAATTGGTCTAAGTAAAATCATTCTGTAATTCATCTCGAATTAAAGAAGGGAATAGATTCAAATTTTGTAACCACGGCAATAGTTGATCGTGATATAACTAAGATAAGCAGAGCATAATTTAATTTTAAGAGTTTAAATTAATTTTATGAGTGTCAATTTGAAATATTAGTTTAATAGCATTAATATTGGGGAATAAAATGTAACTACCCAGTCTAATCTTGGACGTGATATAGAGCAATAATCTATTATTAAAGTAAAATATTTCAAAAGTCTTAAAGTTTTAAATTACTCTTAAAAATCATAATATAAGTATAAAATGAATCTTATTACATAGCTATGTTTATTCTTTTAATTTATGTCAGTCCAGATTTAATTATTTCCGGGATATATCCGAATTAGCCAACTTGTAATAAAAAAAAAAAATAGTTCTTGAATTAGCTAGAAATGAACATATCCGATTACAATTTAATATATATCACTAGCTGATCCAGGATTCAATTTTGGGAGCTTCTGCCTGATAGCTTTTTTTTCATATATATAACGATAATTACTTTGGAAAATAAAAATAAAGATACTAACTACCTATATGAAATGGTGTTTAAGTGATTCTTGAAGTCTCATAAAAGGTAATTCCACGAACAATAATACTTAAGGAGATAATTTTTAATATATATATATTTTTTTTTTTTTTTTATGAAACATGGTTACATTTTACCATTTTGGGAGAGGGGGTTTTAGCCTCAAAGCTTCCTCCTTACCGGTAAATCCTTCTGTGATATACATATATGTATTATATACACTAGCGGATCCAGAATTTCATTTTAGAGGGGGCTTCAGCCCGAAACCTTTTTTTTCATATGTAATGATAAATACTCTAAAAAAAAAAAAAAGATACTAGCTACATATATGAAATGGTGTTTATGTCATTCTTAAAGTCCTATTAAATGTAATTACACGAACAAGAATACTTCAAGAGATAATTTTTTGATATTTTTTACCATAAAACATGGTTACATTTTACCATTTGGGAGGGGGGGGGGGAGGCTTCAGCCCTAAAGTCCTCCTCATCCCATAGATCCGCCTGTGATTATATATAAATAGTAGAAAGGATTTAATACTTTTGATGATTCAAATTTAAATTCATTTTATGTATCTAATTTAATGTAACTTCCATAATCATAAAACAAAAGATTGAAAAAGAGTATTTACCCTAAAAACCTGGATTTGTTTTACAATATATTAAGTTAGTTATTTCAATAGGTTTTATAACACATTAGTAAAATTATTGATATGTGCTATTCGATAATGTCTAGTGTTTTCTCAATTTTGATTAAATTACGTAACTTAACGAAGAAAGTCCTATGACTTTAAAATAAAAATTTTAATTGGATAATAATTGAAGTGATTAAATAAATAATTGTTTATTCTAAAATTTTTTGGTGTAAAGGAGTGAAGTAGAGAGAGTAATCATCAAAATTACTCAAAATTCAATGATTGGTTATGATTTTTATTCTTACAGTGCAAACAGAATTTTAACTATTTCTTAGTGGGGCTGATTTACATACTTTAATAAGAAAACTTTTATAAACAATTACAATTTTCAGATTCAATTATTTACGCAAGTTTAACAGAGGAACCTGTTCTGTAAACTATAATCCAAGATAAATTTTATCTTTATTTTATTAATATTTTTTTTTTTTATGTATCTCTGTATAACTGCCGGTGAGTATTTTATTAGTCTAGTTTAATTAATTTTTAATGAAACCTATTTCAGGTCTAGGTGCAGTATTGAGGTTGGAAATGCATTACATTTAATTATTGGATTAAGTTAATACTTTAATTACAAAGCAATCACCACAATTACTCGAGGTTCAATAATTTTTTTTTTAATCACTTATGGTGTTACAAGCAGTATTTTAAATGTTTCTTAGTGGAACTGATTTTCATACTTTATTGATAAACCCTAAATAAATTATTACAATTTGTTCAAGTTTAAGTTGATATTTATCAGATAATACCAAACTAACAGCAAAAGGATTCAGTTTATTTTAGTTTTTGATGTTTGCTATATTTTGTCATCATGTTTATATAATCACTATGGGAAGCAATGGATAGTCTATTATTTTTGTAATGTTATTAAATTCTCATTATTAATTAGCTTTTGTATTTAGGGAAATAATTCACACATTTTCTCAATCTATTTAGCCCTCGAGCAACATATGAAACATGAATCATTTTATAATATACAACTTTTAACCGCAGACTTGTTTTAATAATATACTGAGCTTGGTCCATTGCTAACAAAAAGTAAAGTTTTAACCTGATTAAAAAAGTAAAGAATTTAAAAAGTTATGATTGATTAAGAGATACCAGGAAAGCTACCGAGAGGGGTATTGTGGCCAAATTGAAGGATGAAACATGCAGGCTGCGTGCACAGTTCATAATAAAATTGCAAATAGTTTACTTGCAGCAATGAATTCTGTAGATAAGAGGTTTTGTAGATAACATGTCAATGCATTAAAAACGTTCATTGCCTAATAGGCCGAAAAAAAAAAAAAAAAAAAAAAATTGATGAGGCAAGACAGTTTCACTTAATTTCATTCCCAAAATTCATATATAGGTATTCTTTGAGAAGAGTTGCAGTCAAATAAACACTATCTATTAAAATAGTACTTTATTGTTAATGCCGACATTTCGACACACTTTGTAGGCCTTCGTCAGGGCGCAGAGTCAGGCACTGCAGGAAATGGTGTCTCTGACACCACACTCTTATGAAGGCCTACAAAGTGGGTCGAAACGTCGGTGTTAACAATAAAATACTATTTTAATAGATAGTATTTATTTGACCACACTCCCCAACCAGCTCCATACCATATTATAATTACGGCCAACCATCTCCACATCATTATAGGTATTCTTGAATAAAATTCTGTAATTTTATATCAATCATCACCTAAAAGTACTAGTGTTTTCAGCATAAATGACAACAATGAATTGTTTCAAAGCTTTTATTTATTGTTTTTTCATGATCTGGGATTTATTATAATAAAAATAACTGCCTAAATACACTTTTTATTTATAGAAAGAAAAAATTTTAAAATAAAGATTTTTCAGGTAAAGTAGTTACGAAACTATGTTTTTCACCCAGATCTCTATTAGAGAAACTGATTCATATTTATTAAGTGTCCAACTAAATGTTCCTAAATCTAACAATTACATTTTCATGAAAATAATTGAAGCTATCAGCAGGTTTCTTTATTTTAAAAGTAAATTTTAGGACTATAAATATATATTTATAGTAAGTTATAAAATCTTCACAAGTCTAAAATCTTAAAGCCAAAAAAAAAAAAAGGATCAATTCCTGTATTAGAGATCTTAGTAAAAAAACATATTTCATTATCACTGGCAAAATAGGAATCTGTCTAAAATCTTAATGCCAAAAAAAAAGATCAATTCCAGTATTACAGATCTCAGTAAAAAAACACATTTCATTATCACTTCAGATAAAGAATAACCAAAAAACCATTATTTTTAACTTTATTTTTTAAAAATAAAGTCTGTTTATGCATTTATATTTATTATTATGCATCCCAGATCATTGAAAAAAATAAATCAAAACTCTGCAATAATTTATTGCAGTCATTTTTTAGGTAATAGGATACTTTTTAGGTAATACGATATAAAATCACATTTTTTTTACACAACTTGAGGTGAATCTCAAGTTTTTCCTAAGTAAACATCAAATTAATTAATATGAACTTCAAGCTTATTATGTGAATTTTTTTCTAAAAATGGGGTACCTGGAGTATAGTTGAATGACAATAACAAAAAAAAAATCACAAATAATTAATGATTTTTTTAAAAACAAAGCTTAGTTTAGCACTCAAAAGTAATCTTTAAATGGTTGTAACATTGACAATCACTTTCTAATAAAAAAAGTAAATAAATAAAACCCATAACAAAAATTTCTACCTTTTCTGTTGAAAATCAGACCAGTTTATATAAACTTTTTTGTAGCTCTTAAAGTTCATTATCAGTCTTATAAATATATCCCTGCATTTACGGAACACCCTGTATAATAAAGATACATTTTTTTTTTCCAGCAACATTTTATCTCCTGACATATTTTGGTTAGTATTTGTGTATCAGAAATTACAAAAACATTTTGACTTAATATGAAAGTATGGTTGAAGCGAACATGAACTAGTGTAATGCAGAATTAAATTCTTGCCATTTAAAGCAGGATAAGCTGCTAACAAAATTAATTGCTTTATAAGCTATTTTTTTAAAACATTTTTATCAACGGTTAATGTAATTCTAACAAAAAACAAATATAAATATGTACATAAATTAAGTTAAAATAGAGTTGGTGGGTACTCAAGCAATCTGGGATTTTTCTATCGCATATGTTTTTTTTTCCTATATGATGCTAAATTATTTTATATCAGATTTTAACTATGAATAGGTTATTACTCACACACTTACTCTAGACAGTTTTTTTTAAGAAAAGAATTTTGGAATTAGGTCATTTCACTTTGAACTAGTTTAAAATTAAAATAAAAGAAAATTCATCTTAAAGAGGGAATGGCAAAGAAGCTATGGAAATATGTTGAAAAGTTCCTAAAAGAATGCAGATTATGAATTTGAGTAATTCAGGATATTTTTCTATGTTAAGGGAACTCATCAACACATCAAAATCTAATTTTTAAATCTTCATTCACTAAATGTACAGCATAAAATTTTGTTAAAACAATTTATTGAAAATCTAAATAAATGAGAAAAGGAATAGTGACTTTAGATTTGACAAGAGATGAAAGAAGAAGGTAATAATGAAATATATAGATATAAAACTTACACACATGCTAGGCAATATAAAAAGAAAAGGAAATGTAAAACAAAAATACTAGATTAGATACAATTAGCAGAAGAACAATGGTTTCTTATATGTAAATTATAAAATTAATGTTTTTAATTGTATAAAATTAAAATTGTATTATAATTGTGGGTTGATGGTTCACTGTCGTGAATAATGAAGAGAAGGATAGTTGGGGTAATCAGTCAGAAATAAGAAGGCAAAATAAATAATAATATTTATTTTAACATTTGCCGACGTTTCAACCTGAAGTTCAGGCCTTCACTAGGGCTCCTCCAAAAGCTGACTGCAGTAGAGTGGCCTCACTCAATTTTTCTGAAATAATTGATGTCAATAGTATTTACAAATATATTCTCAACCTAATAATGTAGAAACTCTCTTGAACTAGAATTTTCAAAAAAAGGTAAAAAAAAAAAAATCAGTAATTATTGCCATAATTATATTTTTTTTTACGTGACCTGCAAGAGCGGAATAAGGGAATTCTTTGACCGAAGAGGTATCGATTGGACAAAAACAAAACAATTGGCACAAGATAGAGACTTGTGGATCAGGCTCTAGAAGCAGAAGTCTTACACTGCTTAGCAGAAGAAGAGGATGGATTAAGTAATTTTTTTTTTAATATTTCAGTATTTACTTAAAAACTAAAAAAATTGTGGTCAATTGAAGGGATAAATAAGAAGGAAATGAGAGACAGATTTCTTTCCCAAAACTTATCGAAGACCCATTAAACACCAACAATTTGAAGTTATCTTTGTCTCAGGACTAATGTACTATTGTCAACCACAATTAATAGTAGCCTAACATATCAATAGTAAACTAACATTTTGTTTTTTATCTATAACTCTATTAAATTAATAACAAAATATTAACAAATATGATCGGAGGATTAGAAAAAGAACATAATGTAAGTTTCAATTTAGTTCGCCCTCAGGGTGGCCTACTAACAGCGGTCAAGTTATAATAATTAAATGCGCTAACTCAATTAATAAAAATAATTAAGGCTATCTTTTTATTCATTAAAAAAAATATCTCTTGTTTCTCCTCCTCCCCCTTAAAAACTTAAGATTCACCACTTCATACAATATTTATATGTTTATTAATGTTTAATAAAGATAACATAAATATTTAGAATATTTATTTATAATATATACATACAAAAATATAGCTATGTATTATAATAATATATATAAAATCAAAATAACAAATTTCCCAAGTACAAAATATATTTTTTTTTTAATATTTATTGGAATCAATTAGGAATGTTGATATTGTCAAAAAAAAAAAGTATTTAAAATAATAATCAGTTTCCTAACGTTACAAATCAACCAAATAATATTGCAACATCAGAAAGGTTTCTGTATAAAAACAAAAAATAATGAGTAGCCACTACTGTGTGTTATCAGTATTTAGTGCAAGCAATCATAAGTATTCAAAACTGAATAAAGTAACAACACTAAAGGCTTATCTGATTCTGACAGAGTCTAACTATTGGATATCAAAGCCATCATTGAATACTTTTCTGTGTAACAATATAAACTACTCTATTTTAATTTTGAATAAAACTTAATAATAAAAATGATTGGTCAATTGATTCCGGTTCTTTCATCAGCAACATTTAGCTATTAATCTTTTACAGTGGAAAGAATCAAGCTTCATAGGTTGATGCCGAGACATTTCCTCCATGGCCTGTCCAATTTGTATGAATGAACTTGCCAGGTTGGCTTAGTAACTCATATGTATGTGCTCCAAAATAGTCCCTTTGAGCCTATAAACAAAAAAACAAAAAAATATAGTTATACTCGGTTTTCACTGTTACAGATATACTGATATAATAACTAATTCAATTATACCACTTAAATCTGCCAATTTGAATTTTCCAATGCTTTTGATCTTAGGCAATTTCGTTCACAAACTTTTGTCACTTAAGGTGGGCATAACTATTTCAAGCATATTGAAAAAAATATTATGGGTAAAACGTTGATATATAGGAAGATCACTATTTTATATTGTCTTGTCATACAAAAAACAAATACAGTTATCTTTTAGTATTAAAAAATATTACTGTTTAGAAAATAAAGCTGAGAGAGGTGGGACGGTATAGAGTTAAGCAGCTGTACGAGTCATAGTATGACTTAACAACTCTCCCCTCTTCTCAAGTTCCCACCATACCATCCAGATGCACTGTTATTTCAAATTATTAACTCTCTTCATTATCTAAAAGATGTAATCTCAACCTTATACACATATTATTTATCAGTTTAATAATGTTTCAATTCAAATTATTCCAATTTTTTTTACTAAGTACAAAGGGGAATTCAAAAGTATCGGGAATTGGGCTGCAGTGGTGAGAGAAAGTGGGAGTAACCCATTTTTCGACCCGGTGTCCGTTAGGGATATGTCTCCTGAGTAAGAGTGCGAAGTTGTGTTGCTGTGAGTGCATCGGTTCGCCCGTGAGAATTTTTTAAGTGAAACAACTTTTTCCATTTCGCCGAAAACTTGATGGCCGGACTGTCAAAAGAAACGTGCGGCTGTGAAATTTTATTTCTTGTTGGGGAAAGTAGATGCAGAAACTATTGTAATGCTTAAAATTGCTTATGCGGATGCTGCCCTAAATAAAACCAGAGTCTACGAATGGTTTTCAAGTTTTAAAAATGAAGAAATGCATATTGAAGCCAATACCAACACCAGGACACCCCTCAACATCAAGAAGTGATGAAAATGTCGAAAAAATCAATGCTCTGTTAGTGAAGACTGTCGCCGAACTATTGATCAACTCTGTGATATGTCAGGAATATCATGGAGTTCAATCCAGAGGATTTAATCCGAAGACATGAGTAGAGTTGCAGCCAAATTTCCCTCTCAGTAAAGCAGTTTTTAATAAAAAACGGCATGACACCAATTGTCCAGCCCCTTTCATTCTCACTCCCTGCTCACCGGATCTAGCCCCTTGTGATTTCGTTTTGTTATCCAGACTCAAAAGGAACACGAGAAGGAATCATTTTGCCACTCAGAAAGAGGCAAAACAAAAATCACTGGAAGGCCTAAAGAACATCCCGATAAGTGAATTTAAAAAATATTTTGAACAATGGAAGAGTTGCGTTGTGGTCAAGGGAGAACACTTTGAAGGCGATCAAAATTTGGTGTAAAAATATTAAGAAATAAAGAAGTTATGACGAAATTCCCTTTTTGGGGGTCCTCGTAAGTATCCTATTTAGACCTTTGATTTCTTGTTTTGATGAAAAAAGTTGAAAAGAATAGTTGAAAGTTGAAAAAAATATTTCAACATTTATAAAAAAATCGCTTTGAGAGCAATGACCTCGATCAGGCGGGTGAAGTGGAAAGGGAAAAGAAGAACACGTACGATAAATGTATCCCTTTCCTAAAAGAGAAATTCCGTGAGACCTTCGGAGAGAGAGAGTTCACCGTGAGAGGCCTCTGGTTTGGGTCTCGTGGAACTATCCCAAAAAGAACAAGGAGCTTCCTCGAGGAACTAGGTGTCGACATTAAGGACGTAGCGAGGTTGGCTGAAAATATAGTCCTCGACTCCCTGGGAATCATTCACCACCACGTGCATGGCTAGCCCGAGAGTTTTAATTTATGTATTTGTTTATTTATTTATTTAGTGAATAATTGAAAACAATAGCGAGAGAGAAGTGAGAGAAAGGAAAACTTAATGTTAAATAAAAAAAAAGAAAAAAAAAAGCATGAACAATGAGAAGAAGGAAAAAGGAAAAAAAAAAAAAAAAAAAATTATAAAAATAATAAAAATGTATATATATATTTCTATTTTACTAATATTAACTAATACTTCTGTATATTTATATATAAGTTCATATATTGTCCTAAGGATAGAAGAGTATGCTGTGTATATAGCAACCCAATATAATTGGGCAGCAATCCTTTATATTTTATGAAAATAAAGTGTTTCTCTCTTTCTCTCTGGTTTTCATCGAATAACATTGAAAATAAATTTCATATGCCCAGATTTCAACAATTCACTGTTAATTACCCTTGAAAATAACTGAGTACATACCTGAATGAGATTAGCTGGAAGCCTTGAAGATCTCATTCCATCATAAAATGATAAAGCTGATGAAAATGCAGGAGTAGGAATGCCAAGGAGAGCTGCCTGTGCAACTGTTTGTCTCCATCCATTCGAACACTTTGAGATTTCTTTAGCAAACCAATCAGAAACCAAAAGATTGCTTAGATTAGGTTCAGCAATAAAAGCATTTCTTATTTCACCCAAAAAAGAGCTGAAACAATGATGATTTATAAAATATATTTAATCTAATCCAAACAATAATATTATATTATTTATAATTATATTAAGATAATAGACAGATGGTGTTTGAAATAAAAAACAGTGATGAATATTTAGTTTAATAAGAGGCAATATTTTGCCCTACGTTATATGCCTTCTATTACTATGAGAATCAAAAACAAGATATGATGTATAAAAAAAGAATTGTGGAATTAGATAGGTTAATACAGTAAACCAAATGTAGAATATAAAAATATAAAAGAAACAATTTAATTGAAAAAAGACTAGAGAAATAAGCCTATCCATCATTATGTAATGTACTTGCACATCTACCACATGGTGTAGTAGGCAGAACCCTCCCATACCCAAACGAAACTAGAGACTTTTCTGAATGTCGATATGCACTGCTGCATGGGATGAAATCTACTTGCCAGGAGCCTTAATGAGTTGTGGAAGCTACCTGACAACTATACCAAAATAAAGGATATCAAATATGTGAAAAATATTTAGAACACATTATTGAAATCATCGATTTCAACGATTCTGTTGTTCTTTAGGAAATTTTGTCAATTTTCAAAGAACCAAATCGGTACATCCGTTTAGGTGCTACTCTTGATTTGATGAAAGATTTTGACCATAGATGCCGAAAATACTCTCGCTATAGACTGCAAGTATGGGCGTCTACCACCCAAAAATATCGTTTCCCGCTCCTTTCTCCCAATAATTTGAGGTAAAAAGAAATTAAAACCAAGAATAAATAGGCTAGATGAATGAATATAATGTTTACACTAAAATAGATTAACAAAAGTCGACTAGCTGGCTAGGCTAGGGCTAGGGTCTAGTAATAGGTATGCAACTATTTTACTGACCTTGAAAAGCCTTCAGTGCTCGAACCATGCCCTGATCATGACCCACATGTTTGGGTTGAAACGATGGCACAAATAAAAAATTAAAAAATTTTTAAAAGACTGCGTCCTGAATATTTATCCTCCACAACTATTTTATTTACTGAACAAACCAGCAATATTGTTCTCAATATTAATACTTAAAGTATATATTTTTATCAACAAACAACTTAACAATAGACCTAATTTTATATAATATTTTAATCCACCCCAAAATATTGCTATTATATCAATAGATTGACCAAAAATTAATTTTATTGTGGTTTGGTTATTTTTTTATTTAAATAAAGAAGAATTCTATTTTCAATTATTTTGTTTAACTTCTCCTCGCACGGGCTCATTACCGCTTAGGGGAGCGTCCCACCGGAGGCGGATGTGGGAATGGTTGGTGGAAATTCTTTGGAAGGGACCTCCAGATTTGCTGGAGAGTGTGGCATAGGAAAGCCCTACTCACATATCTAAAGTTCGCAAAATACCAGTCATGGATCCTCATAAAGTAAAACTCTCATTATCCGGAAGCCAACTTGTCGCCCGTTCAGGTCTCTGGGTGGAGACTGCTTTAGGGGATTCATGGCTCATGTTGAAATCTAGAGATTTAAGTATAGCGACGTGGAACGTAAGGAGTTTGAATACAGCAGGTGGGTTAAAATCGGTCGCAAATGAATTAATGGGTACAATTTAGACATCGTGGCATTGCAAGAGGTTCGCTGACCAAGGGAAGGATTCATAAGGGAAGATAAGTACACTTTTTGGTGCTGAGGAAGCGGAAATCATTGCTTAGGTCCCGATTTTCTTGTTAGGAATAGATTTCTATCCACTTTGAGGGACATACAATACTTTAGCGATAGGATTATGGTGGCCATATTCCAGGGGCGTTGGTTTTAAATCGAGATGATGAAAATACAGTGTCCGACTGAAAACAGCGATGACAAAGCCAAATGTGAATTTTATGATAAAATGGAGTGGGTTTATGATAAACCACTGCGAAGCTGCATGAAAAAAAATTTAGGGTATGCTATCACAAAGGTGATTAGGGAAGAAGTTTATTTTCCGACGATCGGTAAAGAAAGTTTACACGATTGTAGTAACAATAATGGGATTCGGCTAATAAATGTTGTCATCTCGAAAAATCAAATAATTAAAAGTACTAAGTTTAAACTTAAGGATATTTACAAATATACTTGGTCATCACTGGATTCGCAAAAACGAAGTCAAATCAATCGCGTCTTGATACAACATTGCTGGCAAAATAGTAAAATTAATGTAAGGTCTTATCCCGGGGCAGAATCGCGAAACTTCGAAAAAAGCTTAATATAAAAATCTGGTGCGCGCAACACACAACTTTCACTTACCGCTCAACTTTGAATAGAAATTATTTTCTGACCGTTTGACTATTATAAAATTTTTGAATTGCATTTTTAACTGAGCTAAAGCTAAAATATTGCAGCTAACATATCATAAATACTATTAAAATAACAAAAGTCGGTGATTATGGATTATGGATTGTACGACTATTAGTTATTAAACAGTTATTTTCCATCACAAAATTTATTAAAATGGAATTAAGAGATTTGCATTGTCTGTCATAGACAGGTCAAAAGCTGTCACACTAATTGCAGGTGGATTCTGTTGGAATATCGCAAAAGGAAAATTTATCAAATTTTTCACTAATAAGGTTGCATAATGATTTTTCAGAATAAACGGACGATAGATGCCTAATTATTTTAAAATAATTTCAGATCTAGAGTTATTAAACTACATTAAATATATTTAAGGTTATAAACGTATCCATGAAACATTTTTATATTTCATTTCTTCTTTTACACAAGTACAATGAAATAGTATCTTAAACAATGTCATTGCCTTGAATCTGTGGGTTCTAAATACTTTTTCAAACTTAAAAAAAAAAATTTAAGTTTACATTTAGTAAGAAAATTCAATTTAATTTCCTTGAACCTGTTCTTATTTATATTTTTTTCGCCACTCTTCGTTACCTTCTACAACTTTTTATATCAGATATTTTTTTTTCTAAAATTCTCCACTTTCCAACGATATATTATAAGTATACCTTCTGCCTTGTATTTCCGGAGATTCATTTTCGACCTGTAAAAGCATTTTTATTTTTTATTCAATTATCAAATTCTATCAAAAAATGTATTTAGCATTTTTTCGTAACATTTAATTATCAGAGATAGTTGATTATTTAAAATAAACCATATTAAAGGTACTTTAGAGGAAGATGCATATGAACATTAGGTATTTAAGCCCTGTAAAGTGACATCAACGGGGATAAGACCTAAATTATATTATAGACCACTTAATTATACAATGATACACCGAGTTTAATCAAAATCATTAGAGCCGTTTTTGAGAAAATTGTAAAAATGTGTTTCAACGTTGATATAAAGTGGTACTTCCGGTTAGACGATTTTAAGGAAAAAGTTGCCAGGACATCTATATTTATCTTAAATACTTAATATCAGTTTCGTACGACTTTTCAGTTTCGAGCTAGTGTTCACATAAACACATACCATTTTTTGGGACTTGGTTATTTGGATTCAGGGGACCTCAAAACGTGTAGCGGTCGGTAACTCGTGCCTAGGAAAACCGTGGTTTGATGAAGATTGCTTAAGGATGTGCAAAAAAAGAAAAACCGCTAAAATAAAAGTTCTAAATAATCCTGGCGAAAACAATCTTGAATACTTCCGAACCTCAAAGAATGAAACAACAAAAATTTTAAAATATTAATATTAATATAAAACATTTACATTAATGTTAACTAATCGAATCACGGAATACGCCGAGGAAATTATCGGAGACTACCAATGTGGGTTAAGGCGGAACAGTTCGACTACCGATAAAATATTTTCTTTACGACAAAGATTACAGAAAAATTAGAGTACAATGGTGTTCACCAGCTTTATATCGATTTCAAAAAGGCTTATGATTCCTTTGACCGCCAGAAGCTATATAATATTCTAATTTTGCAGGGGATCCCAACAAAATTAGTGAATCTAGTTAGAATGTGCTTGATAGAAACATACAATTAAGTTAGAATCGGTTATTATTTATTATTAGAAATTTGAGGATCGTTCAGAGTTAAAACAATATGATTCTCCTTCACCAGACCTATTAAATTTGGCATTACAAAATGCCATTAAAGAGGTGATACGTACAGAAAAAGTTGAACCTGCATGGAACAAATACCCGTGCTTGGGTATGCTGATGATTTGGTACTGTTAAGGGAAGACATGGAAACAATAAGACGAAATACAACAACGTTAATGAAAGCCGGTAAAGGACTCGAAATAAATACAGATAAGACAAAACATATGATTAGCTGCAAAAATAGTGACAATTGCGAAGATAGAAGGGAATGTGTTTGAACACGTACACAATTTTAGGTATCTAGAGTAAATCTACGATAACTAGAAAAAACAAAATTGAAGAGGATATTAAGGTTAGGTTGAAGGCGGGAAATGCTTGTTATTTTTCTTTGTCAAAACTACTTAGTTCTCACCTCTTGTCTCAAAACTTAAAAATTATAATTTAGAAAACCATTGTCCTTCCTATAGTTTTTCATGGATGCGAAACGTGGCCGCTTACATTAAGGGATGAGCAACGTCTTAAGGTTTTTGAAAATAAAGTATTGCGCAGAATATTCTAACCAAAAAAGGACAAGTCAACAGGAGAATTAAGGTGGTTACACAATTCTGAATTGTATCTGGTTAATATAATTGAAATGATCAAGTTGAGCGAATAAAATGGGAATGTAAAATCACTGGACTTAGTGTCTAATTGGCATCGAACTTTAACGTTCGCTAAGCCTTATTATTATTACTTTAACTTCTGTCTTCCAGAGATAGTTCTTTTATGTTAAAAATATTACACCCTGCTCACATTCAAAACTAATCCAAACTTAGTTTTGCGTATTTGTGCATTGGTTTTATTCTGCTAAACGCCGCTCATTTATAACTGACAAGCATATGCACTTTAAAATAACTTTCTGTGAAATTGAATCGTTTTGTCAGTTAATGAATATTTACCTTGTCATGTTCTAAATATTGTTACAATGAAATACATATATGTAGAGATGGACTATGGAGAAGAGCAGCAAGAATATCCAGAAGGCAACGGTTCAAAAATGAAAGAATTCTGGAAATGATGGAAAGAGAATAAAACATTTTCGTAAATGAAAAGAAAAGGTAATGCTGGTTTGGATATGCAAAAAGAATGACACCTGAAAGATTGCCAAAGATGTGTATGGAGCTGGAAGTGGAAGGGAGAAAGAAAAGGGGAAGACGGAGTGTAAAATGGAAAGAGGCATTAGAAGAAAGCCTAGTGGACCATAGAAGAACAAAGCCTTGGACAGAAAAAAATATCTTAAAGAATATTTAGGTTAAGGACAACCACAATAGTGTGGGAGTCCTTACAAAAAAAAAAAAAAAAAAAAATACAGATTTCAACAGAAAAATTAAGTTTTGCAAAAACTTTATTAAAAAATAAAATTTTATAGAGAGTAAAACAAAAAAGAAATTATTCAAAATGTCTCCCTTTGCCTTGACAAAGGCATTTAATCTCCTTGACCAGTCATCAATAGCAGGATAACCCAATGACTTCCAGTAAACAGGGTATCATTTAGATGCTTGACAACAGGTTCCAAAATATCGTCCTGATAGTTTTTAGCGACTGTTTCCACAAAAATGGAGCTTTGTGGTGCCATCAAAGCAAACTGCCCACCAAACCATAACTGATGATGGGTGATTACCTCTTTCCACTCTTCCAATCACTTCCTGGGCTTTATTAGAGCTATGTGCGTACACACGATCATTTTAGCGATTAAATTTTTCTTCAATTGTAATAATTATTTTCATCGCTAAATAAAATCTTTTGGTGAAGACCATTGGTGTAACGGCCAAGGAGCACTTTGCATCTATCCACTCCAATTTTTTTTTAGGGACGTGGTTAGCTTTTGTCCTGTCATTCTTCGAAAACCACCCATCCTAAAGTCATTTTGTAATAAGCGAGACATTGATCTGACAGAGATTCCCATTTCCCAAGACATGATTTATTCAAAGGTTTTGAAGTGTTGAAAATCTCCGACCTACATTTTCAATTTAGTTTAAGGCGATCGCAGCTATTCAGTTTTCTTTATCAACCCACTAAATGATAACTGGGTGAAAGAAAAGTACAACTTAATTGGGATTATTATCCTGACATGTAAAGAAAATAACCTGATAGAGGAAAGGATTATCTAAATAATACCCAAGGATGTAAACTAAGTTCAACTTTTGTAACAGTACTTTCGCAACACTAGGGATTTGCAGAATAGAACCTTTCTACATCGACAATAGTTAAAGGGGCATTTACTTAAACCATAAAAATGTTAAGAATCACAGAAAATTAATTTTTAATCCCAGTGAGAAATGCACCAATTTGAGATGCACAAGAAAACATTCTTTTCACTAGTAGCAATTGTTTTATCTGTTAAGAAACAACCCTAATGTTTAGTTTAAAAGAAAATGAATCTGTTGCTTTTAATGTAATTTTGATTACATTGGTTGATAAGTCGTGCTACGGAAACTGTTTCTAACTGCATCTTCCACTCTTGGACATCTCTTGACTTATTTATTTGTGAGTTTTCATTCAAAATAAAACAGTTATCAGTATTTTTAAGCCTATATTCATTATTGGACAATTTGCAACTACTTTTTCCTTGTTAAGAATGATATTAAAGCATAATTGGTAAAAAAATAGAAATATAATCAACACCATTACAATATTTATTGACATAAAAATTAACTTCTAATTTAATTGTTAAAAAAAAATCAATATTTCAAATACGCCTTCTATGCCAAACTATGCATAATAATCAAATTTTGGTTGAATATGCAATACAAGAATTTTCCAAAAGATTAAAAACAACTTCTATTATATGTTATCACCTCATATTTATGTAAAAAGATTATTTAAAGGTAATATACACTTGCATAGAAATTTGTGACTAATCGATAACAATAAGTAGAAAATCTTTACCATGCTATCTCAAGTAATGGAGTTCCTAAAGCCAAAATGTTACATTTCCTTTAACAAAATTTTTTAACAATAGATACAAATTCAACACCATAACTTCTAACTTGACCTTTCTCAATGAGAATTTAGTATTAAAGTGTTTACATCCAATTATTAAAATAATACCTACCTTCGAATAATACATCCACCACGCCACATTAAGGCTACTGATCCATAATTTAATTCCCAACCATAATTTTTAGCAGCCTCACGCATCAGCATAAAACCTTGAGCATAAGACACAATCTTTGAAGCATAAACAGCCTAGAAACAAAGATAATAATTTGACTTTGATTACTTATTCAGTAGCGACTCATTGCAATAATTCAGCATCTTAATGATCAACAAGGGGAGGTTAGGGCATCATTATTAAGCCAAAAAGACCAATAGCTTAATTTGAAAGATGACAACTTAATATTTTGGATATAAAAAAATAATGGATTAAAGAAAAAAAAAAACTTATAATATACAGGTGCAAGATTGTTCATCGCATCAGAATAATGTAATCACACAAAATTATACTGTTATAATTAGAGGATAAAAAACAACAACAGTTATTCTTAGGAAACATTTATTTCTATTAACAAATCAACATAGTAAATATCTTTCTATGGAATGTAACACGAGATATGAATTCTATTGGAATGATTTATTACAAGCAGTCAAAAATAATAAATAATAATGGAATTAAATATCAGCTTTGGTTTGTTTAACAGGAATTACATATTCTCTTTCTATGTAATATACATTTTGAAGTTAAAACTAATCCATATTAGAGACATAAGATTATCAAATAATTGGAATTTTTTAATAAAATTCAAATTACATATCAGAATATCATCGTGGATATTTACACTATTAACTGCACTAACAACTAGGCACATGATTTTTTATTGGCTGGCCTTCTTCTTCAATGATTCAGGCATTTCAGGAGGTGGGGGCCTTGGTATCCCAAGAGATACTTTGACAAAATCGTAAATAAACCACTGAGCAGCAGTAAGAGTACCAATCATAATAATACGGGTTCCTAATCCTTTCCACAATCCTACAAAGCCAACTTTCTTGGCTACATCAAGGGCTGAAGACCCTTTCTCTTGGTTCAATTTTGATACAATAGTATCGGCAGGATGAGAAACAACAGCACAGAAAACACCAGCAATGTAACCAGCTGCAAATGTGACTATCAGTTGCTCTCCTTTGGTACATTCAGCTCTTGGTTTAGGTACCACATGTTTATAGAGAAGCTCCACAGTTCTTTCAAAGCATGCAAACTTCATCATTGTATAAGGAATCTGTCTACCCCACAAAGGAACTAATGATTTGAAAAAAGCATTCATTCCTTCTTCACCATACATTTTTGGAACAGCCTGCCTTAAAGTGTTTGCAAAGCCAGGAGTAGTTTGGATCTTAACTCTAGATGCTTCCATGGGGCTCAGGGCAATATCAGCAATAAATTCAGCAGAAGCTGAAGCAGCAAGGTACAGACTTGTCCTCCATAAGTAAGCATTTTCTTCGCCAAGAAGGTGAGAGTATAGAACTTTAAAATATTCATAAAATCCGAACTTGCAGGCTCCTTGCATCGAATAACCAATAAATGTTGGTGCCCATCCTTTTCCTAAACCTCTATAACCTTCTTCTTGAACGGTGACTTTAAAACCATTAAAGAGGTTTTTATATTTGGCAGCATTTACTTGCAAGCGAGTTTTCACCAAATCCAATGGAACAACCATTGTATGCGTGAGCCCACAAGAAAGAACTCCACCAACACTACAAAGAAGGAAGTATTTAGTAGATCCATACTCGCAGGACTCTCCTTGTTGAATTGCAGCCGCAGCTATTTTACGTCCTGGAATTAACTGTTGGCAGTCTTCATACTTCAGCAATGTATTGGATTCAGTGTTGCCATAAATACTTCGCACAGGAGAATACATTTTGAGTTGTTTTAAAAGCTAAAACACTAATACTGCATGAAAATCTTATTAGCCACTCCCAAATGAGCTTACGTAGCTGAAGATAACCAGGCGCGAGGAGGTTACAAATCGATTTTTGCAAATAGGTCATTATTCAGCCGTTTAAACCTCAATAGAAATAGTTCAGTTGCTACAGACAAAATAGAAATATTCACAGAAAACTTTTAATTCATTATCTAAAATCAAGAAGCCTTAATCAAATTATTAAACGTTAGGAAAATTTAAAAAACGATATATTTCTTATGTATATTACATCACGGGGAAATATGGGGACCAAATAAAAAGTGCTGTGAAGTTATATCACGTATAACTTATATAACTAAAATGATCAATAATATTCTAAAACAATCAATATAGCATTGTATTTTAAAAAATTGATGTATATCCATATTTAAATATTTACAATTTTTTTTTTCATTTCAGTATATTTGAAAATATGTGAAACAATTGAAAAAAAGCAAAAACAATTGAATCTTACAAACATTAAATGTATGGGAGAAAACCTACAAAGCATAGGTACATTACTTTTTCAGCAAAAAATGAATAATTTTAGAAACTGAAAATATTATGATTCCATAGCCTGTAAAGTTTTCAAATCACTTGAAAATAGCAACCAAAACAGCATGTGCCAATAAAAGTACAATGTTTTCACAATCTGGTTTACTATTAATTTAACTGTGTGTACTAAACATTCTCTACAAAATATATTATATATAAAGTAGGATATTAACAAGTATAACTAGGTATACCCTATGATACCTATATATGATAGTAATGTATATATGATAATAAGAGATGGTATCCTGGAGCCTACCCTGCTTTGAATCAAACTTCATCAAGCGCTGAAAGAAATCAACAAAATGTGGACCAAGGGGAAAGGAGGTATGAAAAATGATTCAAAATTAAACTGAATAATAATAAATTTGAACTCTTAGTCTCAGAAGCCTTTCTAGTAGATCAACACAGAGGGGCATTAGAGTCAGTGTTAAAAGAGTAGTCAAGGGAAGTAATATGTATTGATGAAAAATGAAAGCCAAGAGGTTCGCAGAGTACACCATTGAGGAAAGAAGAAAAATGAAAGCCTACCTGACCAAAACTGACCAAGCTACTCTGGGCAATTAGACGTTATGAAAGAGACAAATAAAATAATTTTAATTTTAAAAACAGATATGACATAAAGTGAGCAATAAACGAATGGGAGAAAAAGATGGTAAACTGACATACAATAAAAAAACATACCTGAGATGCAAAGCACATGGAACCCATGAATGAAGTAGGTATTAAATCCCCAGTAATGTAGAACTTAACATCAGAGCTGTTTAAAGATGTGGGAGAACACCTAAGAGTCAAGCCAGAAGGAATGGTGTAAGGAAAGGATATAAGAAGTGTGGTATACAGCTAAGGACTAAATCTTTCCTTTCCTAAAAGAAGACTTTAAGTTAATAGTAATTACAGAGAAAAAGCATTCATTCTGATAATGATAATTACCTATATTCCCTAAAATGGATAATGACCAATATCCTGCTAACATATATTTCTATCATACAAAATCCATATTATGAAAATATATTAGGTGAACATCAAGCAGGATTCAGAAGAGAGAAGAGTACATAACAAGAGTACATAATTGCGCTTATGACTTGGATGTTTTGCGCCTAGACATCGAAACAAACAAACAAACAAGAGTTAAAAAAATATGAATAAGCTCAGTGCATGCCTTGTTTGTCACTTTTGAAGCTACAATGAAGAGCTGAAGTTTCCAGGAAATTGACAACGTTGTTTTCAAACATACCTAAGTGGCGTGACATCCCGTCACCAAGATTGGGTCTCCTCCAAAATTCGGAGTTGGATTTCAGAATTCCATGCATGATGTTTGAATGCGGTTCGCTGGTCATTCACCAGTTAAAGAGTGACCAGTTACAAGACTCTCTTGTAAAGTTCTGAGGGGTTCAATGTCTTCCATACTGTTGTTCTCCCACATTCTCTTTTTCCTCCGATGAACTCTCATCTCCTCTCTCCTTATATCGTGGTAACATTCATGTGTACCTCTTGTATGACGCAGCACCATCTTCCTATATACCTCAGTTTTCATGACAGTGGTGGTTAAGCATTCATTGTCAAACAAAATGCTGCATATTTGGTGACCTTGTGTTTCTTCAGCTGCCATTCTCAGAGCTCGGGTTATTCCCGTCCACTGTTCATCAGGAGTATCAGCTCCGCTCCTCAATTCTTCTGCAAGCTGTATAATGAGATTCTCCTGATAGGCTCCACACACATCCACAACCTTTAGCTTGAAGACGTTAAATTTTTTCCACGTCAACCAAACCTTGTTCCCCATAGCTGAGATCCTTGTAAGGTAACGGTCCGTATCTGTATTGAATCCTCGGTAAGTTCTGACTCCAATGAGGTTAGACTTGTGTCGAGGAATTATTAGAATATGGTCAATCAGATTAGAGACGGCTCCATTGGGTGATTTCTACGTAACTTTGTGTACTCTCTTTCCTAGGAATGTGGGTACTTCCTACAACTAGGCCTTCAGGATTTGCAGTCAGTCAGTCTTTGACTATTATTGTTTGTAAACTTGTGTAGGCTGAAAACTCCTGTAGTCGGCCAGTTCACTTGTTCCTTGCCTACTTGTACATTAAAATTGATCAGAACTATCTTAACGTTGTTAGCAGGGCAAGCTACAAAAGCTCGAGATCTTCATAGAAACCGTCTTTATCTTCCTCTGGTGATACCTCAATAGGTGCATGGTAGTTGATGAAAGAGATGTTAAAGAATTTCACTTTAAGGAGCTATAGAATAGACGGGGAGGGATGGATGTAAATTTTAAGACCAGTTGGCAGGCTCTTCCTCCAATAATAAATTCAGTACCGAAGGTGTAGTGGGTTATAGTACAGGATATGACATTTCTTTTTAAGTGTACCACTTCCAAGCCAGTGGACTTCCTGGATCGCTGCTATGTCAATGCGGTAATTGTGAATAATATTAAGAAGTGATATTTCGAAGGGCTCCTAGTCTGTACAGAGACAAAATATTCCAATAGGCTATACATAGATTTGGCGATTCCTGGTCTTATTCCTTTGAGACATTGCGATTTTAATTCTTTTAGTACTTTTCATGATAAACAATTTGAAATTATCCAAAATATCTTAAGATTTGAGGCAGGATGATGAACTAGTGTATGTGGGTGTGCCCCATGGAGGCTTGTGTATGAATAGTCTAACGCAAAACAAAAGTTGTACGAAACTGAAATTACATATTTAAGTTAGGTATAGGGCCTGTGATCTACAG